ACATACAGAAAACATCACCTCGTCGGAAGACCCAAAATAGTACTTGAGCTGATGGTATGACGCGTTTCAAAAGTCAACGCAGTCAAATTGACTGCATCCCAGCTTCCAATCGACAAACTACCCACAGCATGAAGAAGAAACACGACACATATTTAGACTTTACAGGAACACATGAGACGCTGCCAAACTCAAACCAGTCCATTCATGTACAGTAAATACTGCATTTATACATTATTTATATCATCATCATCATCATAAATCATTTATTATTATTATTATCATTATTATATCAATATCATTATAATCATCATCATTCATTATATATTATTATTAATTAATTATTATTTAACAATAATTTATTATTATATCATCATTATCATTATTGATATTAGATATCATTATTATTATTATATATCATTAATATTATTATTATCATTATTATTATACATTAATATTATTATCATATATTATCATCATTATTATTATCAATAATATAATTGTTATCAATTATTATTATTATAATATTATTATAATCTAATCATTATTATTAATATAATAATATAATTATAATTATTAATTATAATTACTTATAATTATTATCATCTATTATAATTATTATCATCATTATTATTATCATCACTTATTATTAATATCTGATAATAATATAACATATCACATTATTATTATTATAATACTTATTAATATCATTATTATTATTATTATTTATCATCTCTATAATATTATCAATATTATTATAATCATAATTATTATTATTATTAACATAAATATTCTTAACATTGATGTTTACCAGGTAGCAGGCAATGAACACGGCAGCCGCCTTAGTCACGCTCAAGCCTGTTTGCCATTCTCAGAGCGGCAAGAACATACGGCCTCAACGCGGCGTGCTCATTGTGCCGTCCTCATCGCCTGGCTGTGGCCGTCATCCATCTACTACATACACTCAAGTCAGTGCCAGCCGACCACACGACGACCCACTCGACGACCACACGCCGACCACACAACGACCACAGGCCGACCACACGTCGACCACACGACGACCACACGCCGACCCACACCCGACGACCACACGAGACACATGCCGACCACACGACTACACAAGACGACCACAACACACGACGCACGCGGCCACACCACACGACCCCACGCCGACCCACACGACGACCCACCAAGCCCGACACACACGACCACACTCGACGACCACAAGCCGAGCATACGACAACCACATCAACGACCACTAGCCGACCACACACGACCACAAGCCGACCAACGACGACCACTCCTCCCCTGAGCCTCGTACGATCCACACAACGGATACCACTCGCGCAGAACCACACGCCGACCCACCTGGCCGACCACACGTACGACCACAACGACTCGACCACACAACGAGCATACGACTACCACACGACGTGACCACATCCGCCGGACCACACAGACCAACCACACGACGCACTCAACGACGGACCACAAGACCGTACCGACACGACGACATCCACCGCGACGACACACTGAGCGACCACACGCCACGTACCAACACTGCCGACCACCACGGAGTCCGACACATGGTCCGTAACTCAACGCCGAACCACACTGCCCTGCGACAGGTCGGTACCGAAGAGGCCTATGGTATGGGATATTGGCGACAGTAGCTTCAGTTGGTAGAGCTATGGCCATAGTTGAGCCAGAAGGTCGTGGGTTTGAGGCCTACCTCCAAGCACTCTACACAATCCGACACAACCCACTGTGCTGCTCTCGTGTTTGTCTTGGGACTAAGACACTTTAAACACTCTGGGATACACCAGCCAATGTGGGGGCGTGTCATCACCCCGTATTCGACCCCCGGGAAACTAACCCCAAACCCTGATCACCTAAACACAACCCTCTTAATTCATGATCGCCTAACAACTTAACCATGTCACACACTTACTGGACATATTTCAACTGTTTTACTAGTATTAATATATTAATACGGTGTCCGGGCTACGAATTACGGGAGTGAGTTGACAGGGGCTGGCCTGCAAGCTGTAAAGTGACCAAATCTGCCTTGTATGTGTCCTTAGGCAATGGACACTTCACCCACTATTATAGAATGGAGCTCGGGTGTGTGTCGTGTGTGAATGGTTGGAGGTGGTGGGGAGGGGCCGATGGCACAGGACAGGTTTTGCCTCGCTTCTGTCAGTGTGCCCACGGGAGCTGTGCCCTATACGTAGTAGAATACTCCCCACACGTGTTTGGGAGGGCAACGATTAAAAGGCGCCGTTACAGCCCAAAAGCTTCAAATACGCATTTGGACGGCGACTTCATACTGACGCCGAGGATAGTTGAGTCCCTATTGGAGCTTGGAGGTTTTGACGCGCCTGACGCCGGAGGTGAGGAGCTATCTCTGTTGCCATGGTAGTCAGGACCAGCGGATGAGAGGATTTTTCACCCGTGCAGCAGACGAGCCTTTATTTGTCTATTAAAGCAATATATACCGTGTGTTGTAGGGCTTCAACCAATACGTGTTCCTGGGTCTCACACAGCCTTGAGAAGGCTGCAGTGTTTGCAGGAGGTCCGTCATTTACTCAAGGATGCTGCGTACGGTAGGAGTCTCGCTAATTCAGCACGGTTACTCTCCGCATGTCACCTGCCCCTAGTCAGAGTTCCCTCACAACCCGGAAGCTCGCCTCCTCCCCGGCATTCTCGTCTCGCGACTACACTCGCCTGCCTGTCTCCCTGGCACTCGCTCGCCTCTCCCCTGCCTCTACTTGGCTCATCGCCCGCCCGGAGCTGTCATTGCTCTGAGCCAGAGACTCATCGTCAGCCTGGTTCTGTCATTTTAAATAAACATACGTTTAACTACACAGCATGCTGTACAAATGATGTAGTTTACTACAGAACGTTATCATCCTCAATACCATTAATATATCAAGTAATCAAATCAATAATGACAATAACACCAGCAGCAGCATTGCCACTCAACTTCCAGACAGAGACAGGACCCTCTGCTGCTGCCTGCTCCTCGGTCTCACTGATTGGTTGAGCCCGCGTCAAAGCTTCAAACAGCTCAGCTTTGCTCAGCTTCGGCGTCAGAGGGATGGTTTTGATACGCGAGCGTTTCGCGCGTCAAAGCTTCAAGGCCGTGCGTACTACGCGCGACTCTTGAAGCTTTTGACGCGAGTCAAGTGACGCCGGGCTCTCGGCTTCACAACCTGACGCGCTTCACCATTCACTTTCAATGGAAACCTGACGCTAATGACGCCGCGAAGTTATAAGTCCGGTACAGTGGACGCCCCTTACTGACACATGTGACTCACGCAGTGTCTTTGCGTGTCCAAAAAAACGACGCCTGTAACTAAAACCGATCCATTATTCATTATTATTATTATTATAAGGGTAAAAATGTCACAATGTTGTCAAAACAGTCAAATCCTGACTTCACGTTTTGTATGGTTCCCGCTCAAGATTTAAGCCTTTCTTTTTGCCAAAGTCTGTCAAAACGAGGGAACATGCCACCCCTAACCCCATAGCAACAGTAAGAAAAATATCACTATCAAAAATTGCTCAAATTTGTACACTGTAATTTGAGCACAAAACCTCAGCCTTACACCAAGCTTCCCAATGGGGCACCCACAGCCCCAAACTTATCTTATTTTGACACACCATCAACAGACATGATTCTTTTGGAATGAGAAAATAACGCAACCAGTCCTTGAAATGAGGCCAAATGGATTTGTCTCAGTGGGGTCAAATGTGGTTTAAAGTCAGAACTTAACTCAAATAAGATAAAAAACAACTTGATTCAAGCAAGTAACACCTCCTCATATTTGAATCGTTTTTTGCAAGTGAACATTTGTGAAGTCTGAATAATAGGTCACAATAATTATAACTTATTAAGAGATTTATATTATGTCCAACTTTGGGTGAAATTTCAGTGTTCGCACATACGAGTAACAGAAACCAGTGGGGAAAGTGAGCACAATCACAGTAACTCTAAAACCCAACTCCTATCTCAAATAAAATAAAATCTTATAACTTAACGCAACCCAAAAAGCCCAACCAAGTATAAAATCTCTAGCTCTTTGCACAATCAGACATACAATCCTAACATGTCCAACATTAAGGTTCAATAACTGAATAATCAATGTTTTTGGGCCTCTAATATATTCAAATACCACACAATAACTGTAGTATTTTATGTACATTATCCTTTCAATAGTTAAAGTAGTACATAGAATTTAATATGCTGCTATCCAGAATATATAACTACTAAGTCATGTGTTTATAAAATTTCGGGTGTTCATTTTGACATGTTCAGATGAATTATTTTAAAAAACTGCTTTGAAGTGGCACCTTTTCACTACCGCATAGAAACGCTAGGGGCACCAAAATGGCACGGCGAGGACGTAGGGAGAAGGCACCCTCCACAGCCAGCAAGCAGCAGTTATCGCGGCTGGAAACTGGATTAGGGAGGGTTTCACTGTCATGCTGAACAACGGTATACACATATTTACATCCGTTTCTGCTACATAATAGTGTAGCCAACTCAAAACCAATAAGCCTTTCTTTGTGGAGGACTCAGCCTAACTAGTGGTTGGGCATGATAGCTAACATCTACTTGATTTCTCTATCCAACACCATGCTACTAACAAGGCTATATATTCGTTTTTACGACTTTATGCCAGGTCTCACTTTGCTCCTGCCATGATTCACTAATACCCACAAAGAACAATGTGAATATTCACTTAGAAAATGCAACATCACTAACTAACTGGAATTATAACTATAAGATCATTAACTGTAATTAATGACCCACGCAAGCTGCAGAAGATGAACAACGAAGCCACAAGTGTATGACAATCATTGATACAAATGCATAAATAAAACGTTAATTAGGGTGTTAGACATTATAGGATATTACCATATGTTCGCATAGTGAGGTAAATAAATATACACGGAACCCAAGAGTGAGACTGGCATAATGTAAAAACGAATAATAGCCTGCCGCTTAGTCAGTCTATGATAATCAAGTAGAGTTAGCTAACTTGCCTCACCCCTAATAAGTCTGCTTGAATCTCACTAAAACAGGCTCATACAAGGTTTATAAAAAGAGTGGAGCCACACTATTAGTGTACTAATAATCGGCAGTGAAAATTATGTCTATACCTTGTATCAGATGCTCAGGGGATAAACCTCCATCACGATTGCAGCTCCGACTGCATGCTGCTGCCTGTGATTGAGGTTCATTCTCCTACGGTCATCGCGCACATTTTATGGGCGCCCCCTAGCGTTTCTGCTAGCGGCCAGTTGATAAAAGGACTGACCACTCTCTCAATAAGCCGTTTTATATCGACATCAATATCATATGAACCCTGCGCAAAAATGAACACCCGAAAATATTATAAACACATATTGTAGTTATATATTCTGGATAGCAGCATATTAAATTATAGTACTACTTAAGTTGTTCCCCACTTATTTCCGCTCTAGAGGACTAAGTATTTGAATGAATAGTAACTATTTATTCTGCAGATTTTGCTCTTGGTCAGAGGCAGTGGGTGGTTTCCCAATAGTTTCTCACGAATCTCATTTCTTTCATTAAGCGAGTTGTAGATGCAGGCCGCTGACACAGGATTCATTCATCTTGTCGAAGGTTTTTTCTATCGAGTTCTGCACTGGAGACTTGACTTTCTCTGCGCCCGCCGGCAAGAAACCACAACAAAACACAAACCCACAACCAATCGTCTTGAAAGCAGTGCATCACCAGACACACGCCACCGACCCGATCTAAACATTCCTTCGATTGAGGTCGTTTTTATGTCGAGACGTAAATGCAGTGCCATCAGGATTTACGTTACACATGCAGCGCCCCTACTTTTGTGAGACGTTTCTTCCGACAGCCGGCGGTTTTTCAGGCTGTTTTCAGATTTAGAATGTGAGTACCCAATAGGGTTTTCACATCGGGTGACCGAAGCCCTGGCGAAGGTTGGTTTTGGATGGGTGGACTACATGTTTGATAAAAAAAGATATTGTTTTCTTTTCCAGGGGACCGCCATTTTTTTTTAGTTACTCGTGGAAAAAGAATCAAGTGATTGTGTCTATAGACTACCAAAACTGTATTTAACCATGTTTGGTGGAGAGATAAATAAACCAATGGGACTCTCGATTATCTCCAACGAACCAATGGGAGGGCAGGGGGACGCACCGGGTTATCGGATGGCTGAGGGAGGGGTTTGCTTCACTCTCCCCCCTCCCGTGACAAAGAAAAGGGGATGTTTGGTTTGGTGGAGAGGGAGGGAGGGAGGGAGTGGGGTGGAGAGGGACGCGGGAGGGGGGAGGTGTTGGTGGAGAGGGAGGGGAGAGGGGAGTGGTTGTGGAGAGGGAGGGCAGGGGGGAGGGGTGGGGGGGGGGGGGGGGGGGGGGGGGGGGGGGGGGGGGGGGGGGGGGGGGGGGGGGGGGGGGGGGGGGGGGGGGGGGGGGATTGGGGGGGGGGGGGGGGGGGGGGGGGGGGGGTGGGGGGGGGGGGGGGGGGGGGGGGAGGGGGGGGGGGGGGGGGGGGGGGGGGGGGAGGGGGTGGGGGGGGGGGGGGGGGGGGTGGGGGGGGGGGGGGGGGGGGGGGGGGGGGGGGGGGGGGGGGGGGGGGGGCGGGGGGGGGGGGGGGGGGGGGGGGGGGGGGGGGGGGGGGGGGGGTGGGGGGGGGGGGGGGGGGGGGGGGGGGGGGGGGGGGGGGGGGGGGGGGGGGGGGGGGGGGGGGGGGGGGGGGGGGGGGGGGGGTGGGGGGGGGGGGGGGGGGGGGGGGGGGGGGGGGGGGGGGGGGGGGGGGGGGGGGGGGGGGGGTGGGGGGGGGGGGGGGGGGGGGGGGGGGGGGGGGGGGGGGGGGGGGGGGGGGTCGGGGGGGGGGGGGGGGGGGGGGGGGGGGGGGGGGGGGGGGGGGGGGGGGGTGGGGGGGGGGGGGGGGGGGGGGGGGGGGGGGGGGGGGGGGGGGGGGGGGGGGGGGGGGGGGGGGGGGGGGGGGGGGGGGGGGGGGGGGGGGGGGGGGGGGGGGGGGGGGGGGGGGGGGGGGGGGGGGGGGGGGGGGGGGGGGGGGGGGGGGGGGGGGGGGGGGGGGGGGGGGGGGGGGGGGGGGGGGGGGGGGGGGGGGGGGGTGGGGGGGGGGGGGGGGGGGGGGGGGGGGGGGGGGGGGGGGGGGGGGGGGGGGGGGGGGGGGGGGGGGGGGGGGGGGGGGGGGGGGGGGGGGGTGGGGGGGGGGGGGGGGGGGGGGGTGGGGGGGGGGGGGGGGGGGGGTGGGGGGGGGGGGGGGGGGGGGGGGGGGGGGGGGGGGGGGGGGGGGGGGGGGGGGTGGGGGGGGGGGGGGGGGGGGGGGGGGGGGGGGGGGGGGGGGGGGGGGGGGGGGGGGGGGGGGGGGGGGGGGGGGGGGGGGGGGGGGGGGGGGGGGGGGGGGGGGGGTGGGGGGGGGGGGGGGGGGGGGGGGGGGGGGGGTGGGGGGGGGGGGGGGGGGGGGGGGGGGGGGGGGGGGGGGGGGGGGGGGGGGGGGGGGGGGGGGGGGGGGGGGGGGGGGGGGGGGGGGGGGGGGGGGGGGGGGGGTGGGGGGGGGGGGGGGGGGGGAGGGGGGGGGGGGAGGGGGGGGGGGGGGGGGGGGGGGGGGGGGGGGGGGGGGGGGGGGGGGGGGGGGGGGGGGGGGGGGGTGGGGGGGGGGGGGGGGGGGGGGGGGGGGGGGGGGGGGGGGGGGGGGGGGGGGGGGGGGGGGGGGCGGGGGGGGGGTGGGGGGGGGGGGGGGGGGAGTGGGGGTGGGGGGGAGGGGAGGGGGGGGGGTTTGGGGGGGGGGGGGGGGGGGGGGGGGTTTGGTGGAGAGGGGGGGAGGGGGGGGGTGGTTTGGTGGAGAGGGGGGGGGGGGGAGTGGTTTCCAGTTGGTGCTACGGCTAAGCTAACAAAATGGGTTACTGCACCTTTAAGAAAAAGTACAGATAGTAAGTCGACGAGCACAACATAAAGAAATTAAATGAGAGAAAGAGAAAGTCCGGCCTCTTTAAAATGTTCGGTCCCACAGTTCCGTGTGTGTTCTGTAATGTTGTGACTCTGACACCACCATTTGGCTGAATTTAGTCCTGCGCCTTTGTGTATTACAGTCTCCTCTGGTTAGTGCTCTGGGCAGCTGGATTCGTCTGCATATCTGGCAACCGCAGTCAGGGAGAGTGGGAGAGGCTGCAGTACCACTTTTGGCCACACGTTTACACACTGCTGCTGTAAGTGTGGATCATCAGAGGAGACTCTCTGCAGAGTTAGAAAGACCAGTCCTGGAGAGATGCCTGTTATTGATCGCAGCAGAGATTACCTCCACGTTCTCCACAGTTTTTAGAATCCTGAGCTCACATCTTTTTTCATGACGTCCTGATTTACAACAGCTGCTTCTGCTTTTGAGGGAAACACAATCGTTTGGAGCAGAAGCAGCATCTTACAGACCCTACACGTGACCGACGAGCCATAGACCGCATCAATAACCGCGCTTTACTACTGTGTTTTTTACTCACTCCTGGGGAGCCTCATGTTCGCCGGCTACATGTGACATCACAGCCTCACAGAAAAACACTCACGGCTGCAGCCATGAAAAGAAGTATTGTTCCCGCTCCCACCTGTACAGAATAAACCTTATAGGGAACCACTGAGCCATGGCCTCGCCCTCCAGGGGAAAGAATTTGAGGTCACACGACTCCGGGGATGCTGGGAAATTATACAGAGATCAGAAACCCCAGCGCTATAAGAGAAAGAGCTGCAGGTACGGACGGGCCTCTGTGAACGCTCTAATGGACGCCGTCTGCTGCGAGCCATAATAACTTTTCATTTGGCTGCAGGAGGCTATAAAATCCATTATGGAAAGTGATATTTAGACGCCACGGCGAGAGCTGGGGACGAGGCAGGAACCCAGAAGACCCTGCTCCAGAGTCCAGGGCCGTTTGGACACAACACACGTTATGTTTCAATTATGGCTCATTATTAGACGGTCTGTAGATATATTCTGCTGCTGTCAGACTGTACAACGAACACTGCTGACTTCACATGTGCATCTGTGCTTTAGAATACACAGCATTTACAGTTCATTCTTTAGTATGTTAATGTTCATTTATCTTGCACTGTTCTGTAACGATGCAACACTGACATTTCTCTGTTGGACCAATAATAATAATACACACAGCTCAACCCCAGCTGGTGGATTGCATCTGTAATCAGTGCTTGGGAGCAGCAACTGTCAGAAGGATTGTTGTGACCATAGAAAATAGTCCCACAATCTCTAGCTTTAGCATAATAAAGAAGCTAGTATAAAATCTCTAGCTTTAGCATAATAAAGAAGCTAGCATAACATCTAGCTTTAGCATAATAAAGAAGCTAGTATAAAATCTCTAGCTTTAGCATAATAAAGAAGCTAGTATAAAACCTCTAGCTTTAGCATAATAAAGAAGCTATAACCAACCTCAATAACCAGATAATGTGTGTCACGCACTGCCCTGGTCCATCAGCAGCAGACTACATACTGAGGCCCAGAGACTGAGGCCCAGAGACTGAGGCCCAGAGACTGAGGCCCAGAGACTGAGCCCAGAGACTGAGGCCCAGAGACTGAAGCCCAGAGACTGAAGCCCAGAGACTGAGGCCCAGAGACTGAGGCCCAGAGACTGAAGCCCAGAGACTGAAGCCCAGAGACTGAGGCCCAGAGACTGAGGCCCAGAGACTGAAGCCCAGAGACTGAGGCCCAGAGACTGAGGCCCAGAGGCTGAAGCCCAGACTGGAGCAGATACTGAGGCCCAGATACTGAGGCCCACACTGGAGTGGAGGCTGAGTTCTACAAATAAACGCAGTAATGAGAGAGATTGGAATCAGCAGTTTGGGATCTGACCGTGAGGACCAGAGGGGGCTGTGATGTCACACTTTTATAGCTGCAGATTCTGGTTTCATGAACGAGGAGGTTCTGTGACAGTAGAACTCCTGGGGTCTCCTGGAGGTAGAGTTTGTTAAAGACATTACACCAGTTTGTCGGCCATTTTCTACTCATGGTTTTCTGAAGGTCAAAGGTAAAGTTTTCTGACGTCGCAGCAGTTCTATATCACACGTTTCTTGGAGCTCACAACAGACCTCAGAAGTAGAAGAATAACCTAAATTAGAGTCTAAATGACGTCAAAATAGTGAAACCAGTTTGTGTCACTTTGACCCGAGGACAACACTTTGCCTTCACAGAATGGACACACACAGACGCAACATCCAGAGATCGGGTCACGGCCTCTGTTTAGACTCAAACACCTGTGTCTTTCTGTGACGCAGGAGGTACTACATAATGTTTACTCTGTCATCATTCTGTCGGGAGAAAGTCTGGAAAAAGTCTGGAGAAAGTCTGGAGAAAGTCTGGAGAAAGTCTGGAGAAAGTCTGGAGAAAGTCTGGAGAAAGTCTGGAGAAAGTCTGGAGAAAGTCTGGAGAAAGTCTGGAGAAAGTCTGGAGAAAGTCTGGAGAAAGTCTGGAGAAAGTCTGGAGAAAGTCTGGAGAAAGTCTGGAGAAACTGTAAGAACTCTGAAACTGAAACAGGCCCATGTGTGGTTCGGAGCCCGTCCCAAGTCTCAGGTCAGGTGTGACCTTTAGTTCTCAGAATAATCTGGTGTGACTCTGGTGTGACTCTGGTGTGACTCTGGTGTGACTCTGGTGTGACTCTGGTGTGACTCTGGTGTGACTCTGGTGTGACTCTGGTGTGACTCTGGTGTGACTCTGGTGTGACTCTGGTGTGACTCTGGTGTGACTCTGGTGTGACTCTGGTGTGACTCTGGTGTGACTCTGGTGTGACTCTGGACTGATGATGTAGATCTGGTTCTGATCCTGACCCAGAGGTTCCCCTCGCTCTGTCCCTCCCCCACTCTTCCTCCAGTGTTTCCTCTGCTTCCTCCTGGCTCGCTCCATCTTGGCCCTGTTGGCCGTCCCCCTCCAGGGGCCCCTCCCCCCCAGGGGCCCCTCCTTGCAGGCGGGCCCCTGGGTGCTGCTGCCTCCCTGTTGGTGCCGGCGCCCTGCCCAACATGCCTTTTGGGGCCTGGGAGACTGCAGGCCAGACTTTCTGGCTCCACTGCCATTGTTTGCTTGGCTGCTTTGCGACCTCATCCCCAGAAATGGATTAGCATAAGAATACCCCAAAGAGAGAAGCACAGAGGGCAGCGGAGACTCCTCAGCATCGTACCAGGAATCTCAGCTTTAAACCAGAGGACCACAGGATCACAAACACCAGAGACTCTGGTAGACTGTAGATGTAGAGACAGATCTCCATCTCTATAGAGACATCGATTGTCAAACACACAGACCTGTCAGTCACAGCTAGCATGATTGCTCTAGTGTGTAGTTCACACCCGGCCAGTAGGGGGCAGTGGAACTTTACAACACGACACCCGCGACTTCTTCAACAACATCCTCCTCAGGCCAAAGACGGGAAAGAACCAACACCATTCTTTAACAGCAGTGACAATGGAAAGAAACTAGAGACCAGAGAGAGACCAGAGAGAGACCAGAGAGAGACTAGAGAGAGAGACCAGAGAGAGACCAGAGAGAGAGACCAGAGAGAGAGACCAGAGAGAGACCAGAGAGAGACCAGAGAGAGACCAGAGAGAGACCAGAGAGAGAGACCAGAGAGAGACCAGAGAGAGACCAGAGAGAGACCAGAGAGAGACCAGAGAGAGACCAGAGAGAGACCAGAGAGAGACTAGAGAGACCAGAGAGAGACCAGAGAGACCAGAGACCAGAGAGAGACCAGAGAGAGACCAGAGAGAGACCAGAGAGAGAGACCAGAGAGAGAGACCAGAGAGAGAGACCAGAGAGAGAGACCAGAGAGAGAGACCAGAGAGAGAGACCAGAGAGAGAGACCAGAGAGAGAGACCAGAGAGAGACCAGAGAGAGACCAGAGAGAGACCAAAGAGAGACCAGAGAGAGAGACCAGAGAGAGAGAGCAGAGAGAGACCAGAGAGAGACTAGAGAGAGACTAGAGAGAGACCAGAGAGAGACTAGAGAGAGACCAGAGAGAGAGACCAGAGAGAGACCAGAGAGAGAGACCAGAGAGAGAGAGCAGAGAGAGACCAGAGAGAGACCAGAGAGAGACCAGAGAGAGACCAGAGAGAGACCAGAGAGAGAGACCAGAGAGAGACCAGAGAGAGAGACCAGAGAGAGAGAGCAGAGAGAGACCAGAGAGAGACTAGAGAGAGACTAGAGAGAGACCAGAGAGAGACCAGAGAGAGACCAGAGAGAGAGACCAGAGAGAGAGAGCAGAGAGAGACCAGAGAGAGACCAGAGAGAGACCAGAGAGAGACCAGAGAGAGACCAGAGAGAGAGACCAGAGAGAGACCAGAGAGAGAGACCAGAGAGAGAGAGCAGAGAGAGACCAGAGAGAGACTAGAGAGAGACCAGAGAGAGACCAGAGAGAGAGAGACCAGAGAGAGAGACCAGAGAGAGAGACCAGAGAGAGACCAGAGAGAGACCGGAGAGAGAG